CTATCTTTCATATTTACATTTTCTGTTATTAGCTGGCCTTTTATTCGCTTTGGGAAGTGAACAATTTTAGCCTGTTGAGTCAATGGTGGAAAAGATCATTTACAAGAGTGAAAATTAATTAATTTTTCATCCGCTTCTCAAGCGCAATTCATCCCCTAATAGTCGTTCCCCTAGGGAGGAACTCCTTTATAAAAAAGAACAGGCGTGCTTGTCGTACCTTGTAGGAGTTTAAAAAAAAGGGGTTTTGGTAGCTATTAGGGTGTTTAGCCTCAAAAGGTCCACAGCGGGAGCCTTTTTGGTACCTTTTAGGGTATTGAGACGAAAAGATATGACAGGAGATAATGTGTTGTTTACAAGTGGTACCTCTTTACAATTGGGGAGAAAAAAATTTCAAGTCACTTAGGGGTTCTTTTCAAAATTTTCGACGAGCACCCCCGCTCTTTTTATATGGGAGTCTCCCCCGGGACTCGTTCGTCTAGGTATTGTGCCCTTGAACTTTTCCTGCTTGATCAAATGGTCACGGAAACATCTTTAGAAGTTATAAGTAATGACGTCACAGATGGAACAAGAATTCCACCCCCCACCCCCAGTTTTGGCTGGGATTAGCAGTCAGTGGGTTACTAAAGCCGTCACTTACATACTGCGGAAAAGCCATAAAAAGTCAGCTTTAAGGAGCTCATTTACGGTATTTGAGTTATTTTGGCCACGTAAAAATTGCCTTCATATTAAAAGAAACCTGAAAACAGTAGTTTACTAAGATAGAAAAACACCAAAGAGATAATAATAAACCATAAAGGAACAAGGATGGTTAAGGATGGACAAGATTAACACGGATTACAAATGACGAATTTGAAAAATTTAGGCTAACTTTTCAAGATGCCCAAACCGTAACGCAGCCCCTTTAAGTGTGGCCAAGGGTTTATATTAATTTTAAACCACAGGCAATCAGTCGACTGTTTTCTCTTTGGAGCACATTCCAAACACCACTCATCGAATCGTACTTTACATCAAGAACTAAATAAAAATTGCTTTATAGGTCCCACAAAACTCACACTTTTAAGCAAGTGTTGTTGCGTCCTGTTGATTTCCTCCCTCAGTTTTGTCAGATTTTCCGAAATTTTCTTGATAGACTCTTGCAGGGATTTTCCTTCCTGAAAATAAGATAATACGCAAATAGTTTGAATCAAAACCA